GCCGCCGCTGGTGTGGGACCAGAAGCTAGCGCAGTACGCGTCGTCCTACGCGAACCAGAGACGGGCCGACTGTGCGCTGCGGCACTCGAACGGGCCGTACGGGGAGAACATTTTCTGGGGGAGCGGCGACGGGTGGTCGCCGTCGCAGGCGGCGGCGGCGTGGGTGTCGGAGCGGAGGGGGTACAACTACCGGTCGAACTCGTGCTCCGGCGGACAGCAGTGCGGGCATTACACTCAGATCGTGTGGAGGGACACCAGACGAATCGGGTGCGCTCGTGTCGTCTGCGACGACGGCACCGGAGTTTTCATGACCTGCAACTATGATCCGCCGGGGAATTTCGTCGGAGAGAGGCCTTATTGAAAACAATTCATTATTAATATTCTAGTTTATATTTTATTTTTAATATTTTTATGTGCAAATAATAGTTATACATATTTAAAAAAAATAGATAGATAGATACAAATGTATGTGACATTTTATTTTATTTTATATTTTATGTGCACAGAAATAAAATAAAAATGTGTGATGGCCAGTTGGTCACTTTACAGTAGATTTTATAATAATGTATTTATATGTAAAATGGATTTTTTTTAGAAGGTGAAATATATTTAATTTGCAAATGATTGATGGATAATCAAAGCCTTTTAAAAAGGTAAGTAATTTATGATAAATTTTTTATATTTTTTAAATAAAATTTACGGTACACCGTGCATTATAGGTAGAACCTGGACGAATTCGATCGAAATTAGCACTAGAAAATCCAATTTTGGGAGTGGAAACTAATTTTAAATTTGTTGAAAAGAAAATCAAAACAATCGGGCTCCCCTCGATGTGGATTGGACTGATCTCAGGTTGTATTAAAATCAATATTGACGCGATCTTTCCTCCAGATATGCCTTCCCATGTGATCTAGCTCCTTGGTAGCTAGGGATCAAAACGGTCCGCGCCTCTCGCATGGGCGGCCCAGAAATGTCTAGGCATCCCATCATCGACGGAGTGCAAAGCTCGAGCAGTCTTAGCGGCGATGAAATTTTTGGTTCCAAAAGGATGGACGACAGTCATTTTTAAAGGCGATTGCTTAGAACTATCCACGGTCTCAAGCTGGAGACTATCTCGATGAGTGTTTCAATATCTTAGTTTTTTTTTTTTAATTCGAATTGAAAATTGATGTTTTGGAATTGAAAATTTGACATAATTCAAAAATTAGGTTCCAATAAATTGACATGGACCAATCAGATTCCTAAGATTGGGATGGTTGAACATAATTTTCCGAATTGCCCTTATTGGGCTTTTAGTATATTTGAGGCCCATCAATTCTTTTTTCCAATAAAAATATTCCCAATTGAATGGGCTTTGTTTAAATTGGAATGCATATGGGCTTCAACCATTGCCTGCCACGTGGCGACCGTATAGAGAAAAGGAAAGCAGCTCACGGGCCTCTCACACTGGGCCCGGTTTTGTCACGAGACCTTCTAATTCTAATAATTTGTTTTTGTCCCATAATAATTATTGACATAATAAATAAATAAACTATGTTGCTTATCCAATACCATCCATTTTATTTATTGTCTACGAGATGCTACACCTAGTGAAAATTATCGGGTAATTTTATATTATCAATCTATACAAATAATTATTTAATAACCACACATACACAGTCCACATGGTTGTGTGTGATTATATATAGATCAATGGTGCAAAATTACTCGTTATATTTCACTGGATGTAGCATCTACCAAAACCCCATTTCCCTACAGCAAAGCAACCAAATCGAACGAGTGATTGGCTGTTCTGCACCACGTAACATGCGAACGCATGGTCCGAAAATTTATCCGCTTGGATTGTCGCCACTTTTAAGGCTGTGATTGAGCTTATTTTGATAAGTAACTGAGTCGAGCAGCTTTAATCGATTCGAATACAAATCAAGCATCTTGATTTTCTCGACATATTTTATTATTTATAAATAATGCAAGTCGAGCTCATCTTTTATGAAATGAAATTCCAACTTTCTTGAACTATATTATCTTACTTTGCCTAACAAAAATTTCAATTGCAACATATATTATATACATACACACACAAGAAACAATATATATAGTCTATAGGAAAAAAAAAACAATGAAGCCCACCATGCTTATTTTCCTCATAATACTCACCACAATTATCCAACTCAACCACCGCTCAGCAGCCGCCGTCGCCGCTGC